AAGATCTTCCAAAAGACGCTTGGGCCGAACACCCTCAGGCCTCTCTGTAAGGGACCACATAATTTAAATGAACACTGTGCTCCACATAAAGTGCATCATGATGGTTCATTGCTGGCTAGCTGTGAGTTACAGCCAATTCTGGGCTCTCGAGAGGAATGAGTTACCAATAGTAACATTCTTTCATCGTTTACTGATCTCTAGAGTAATACATTAGTCATGACCACAACTTTTAGGTACTGTTTGTATGTGAACTGTTTGTTTTTATGTTGTGTGAGGCAATCTTTTCTGAGGTTTTTATGTAATCATTTAAGCAGTTCTTGAATCTTGGCTCAATTTGACATGCAGTAGAATTAATAGAATAGAATAGAATAGGGAATTTAAATTCTTAAATTCTAAATAAATAAATGGTTAAAATAATTAATAAAATAAGCAAATATACTGTATATTTTATATACTGTTATGCTCTATTTAATCCATAAATATAAAAATATGATTACATTCATGTAACCTTGAATCTCCTCTAAATAAATAAATACATAGCTTTATAAATTGTCACTCCCCAGAATTCCCAGATAATGGCTCATGTTAAGAACATTAAAGGGCATGAAATAAATCATTTCAAGAGAAGTTTAGTGTGCATGATTATAGACATGAATGCATGAATTTAAAAGCAACTGCTGGGTTATTTCAGACTTTCTCCACTGGTTTGTGGAATCAGCCTGGTCAGTGGTAACAATGAGGTCCAGTCTGTTTCTGACAAACACAGCTCCTTCCCAAACCCACATCAAAAACTCAACCAGATGTTTCATGAAGTACCAATAAATCACCACGGTAAGAAAGCTATTCTGTATTACCTTCATTAATGTTCAAAAAATGGTGAAAGGCATTCTTCACTCTGCTGCTTTATATGCTACAATATTTCCGCAAACTGACAACTTGTTGGCACTAATGCTGGAATATGCATTAACTTTACAAAACACAGCAGCATTAGTCAGCAAAGCAGGTCTGGGATAAATACCTCCTTCAACTGATTTTACAGTCTGTTTCAGGAAGGCCTTCATTTACGGGAACACAGAGCATTTCATGAAGAGACTCATTGTTGCTGTTAAAGATTTATAGTTGCATTTGCTTGTTTCCCATTGTCTATGCAGTTAGTTTATAATAACAAGTGGTAATGATTTAAATCTGGCTCTGTTAAATGAGTGTTCGACAACAGCTCGAAAACCACTAAATTAGATCATTTAATCAGATCCATGTGCATGTTAACTGGGACTAAGCAGGAAAACAAAATGTAAACAAAATGTGAACGTTGTAGGATGTTCCATAAATCCTTCAATTAAATATTGGTGATTTAATTTTAAAAAAGATGTTTGATCTTTTTTTATAGGGGGAATATAAACATAAATATGAAGTATCAAATACCAATAAAATGCGTTTAGCTAATTCTGTACTTTCCGTGTCTGTGTCTAGTTTTTCAGGCCACTTTTAATCGAGTTGAGCAGATTTCCAGCAATGGAAGAGATGATCTGCATAATTTTGACCAAAATGGATTTCCTTTTACGTGTATGAACTCCTCTGGTAAGTGTCAGCTTATGTCAGTCAGCTCTTCGCCTTGATCTCTGGTTCAATTCTGCAACCTCTATCTTTGTTGGCAGGCTGCAGCCTAAACCAGGACATACAGTCGGGAAGTGGGAATCGTCCCCCTCCCTGTCCTGTTCCAGCTGGGATCTATGAGTGCTGCCTCAGTCAGATCTGCTCTCTGTAGACTTGAGACACACCTTTGGTCCACTTCACCTGAGAGCAGCAGCGCAGGAGCGACATGAAAGCATGGGCCTTTGAGGAAGTGCAGCTCTGAATGAAGACTCTTTAAAGAGAACTGTTTGAGGCAAGGTCCTCTGAGAGATTCCTCCAGCAGTGAGTCAAAGATCAGAGAAACTCCTCAGATTGGGCACTGACGATGACGATGATGATGATGATGATGCAGCCTTTTGATTTGATGTTAAATAGACACTGTAATTTTCTCTTTGAGTGTGCACAGAGAATGTTGAGGAGAGATGCTGTTTACATTGAGTTCGTAAAATGTCTTTATGTTTTGTTGTATGTTTAAGCATTATATTCTATCTCATATTTGTGATGTCAGTATCACATCATATGGTGTACCATTTTGCCTTTCTCAAATAAATTGAGAAATAAATTTTCAAATAAATCTATCTATCTATCTATCTATCTATCTGTCTGTCTGTCTATCTATCTATCTATCTGTCTGTCTGTCTGTCTATCTATCTATGTATCTGTCTATCTATCTATCTATCTGTCTGTCTGTCTGTCTATCTATCTATGTATCTGTCTATCTGTCTGTCTGTCTGTCTGTCTGTCCAAGTTTTTTTCAGGTGTTTGACCTCGAAATGCTCGTCTGCAAGCTAACAGAAGAAATACTACTAGAATGCTAGCTGTGCCATCTTGTGGTTGTTAACTCGAATATAACGCCTGTAAAGTTTGTCCTTTTTTTCTTTGAACTCAAAACAGTAGTTTAGTTTTACTTTAGGCTCTTAAAACCGCTCTTATTATTTTATTATTCTTAAATTGTTTTTTCAGCTCTTGGTACGATTTTTAAGTTGCTATGAAACAACAAAGATTAGGAAAAGTACTATAAAAGTAAAAACATGAATTTCAACGTCGTGAACAAGTAGATAAACGTTATCTCTCTTAAAGAGGTAAATAAAAAACAAACATTTATTTGCAATAAAGTCATAAATACTCGGACTAGTTGTTTTGTCAATGTACTTACATAGCATGCGTGTTGTTGCTATGGTTACCTCTTCAGGGGAACGTGGTTTCTCGCGAGCGTCTTTAACACAGTGGTTTGCTGACTTTAACTTTTGGGATAACTGGATATGTGTTTGAAAATGCTGTTGAGATGAACATCCTATGCAGTCATATGTAAAATGAACATACTGTTTTAAGAGACTCCCTAACATTCAAGCCAATAATGAGGGGGGTCAGAAACCACAGCATGACGGAAGTCTACCTTTCCAGGTAGCCCAAGTTTCTTTCCCTCGCTGTATTCACTCACACTTTCCCTCCGCATCACACACACAGGAAGCAGAATTTCCACATTCCAGCCTGTGCTGTGTTGATCAGGACACACCCAGCGCGCGCGCACACACACTGTACATTAGAGAGCGATGGGACTGCTGCTCTATGCGCTTTGTGTTGCGGTGATCTGAATGAATGACACTTCCACCAACACATCACAATAATGACACGTGAAGGTAAGCGTCACTTTTAACACTTTACTCTTGCTCCGGTACGACTGCACCCATGCATTGTAACCGTGTGAATTTTAGTGAACTTAAAATTGCTTCGGTAAAATACTTTGTATGTGGAGAGAGTTGCTTTAGACAATAATTTATAAATAATAAATATCTTACGTTGACCGTTTCTGCTTTGCCTTCATAATTGGATTGTGTTTTGTATTGATTTATTGTTGTTTTATGTTATGTTGTTGAGCAGACGCATTGTGAAGCTGCGCTTGAGTAAAATAAAAGATCCGCTATCTGAGAGGAAACTGCTGGAACTGGGTGTAACAGTGCGCATTGTTCTGCCATGAGATCATGTAGGATAGGTTTGAACATACCCATCGCTTAATCCATTAGTTCATACATTAGGAAAACTTTTATTTAGTATGCATATCATATATAAGAACACCCCCCACTTGTACCTTAAACCTCACAGAATTTATCTTCCTTGCACAATATATGGATAAATCAATCAGTCTAAATGACTGTCATGGGTTTAAAGAAAATGTATCTTTATTCCACGAAGCTTAGGCTATCTTATTTTTACAGGCCCAAATGTTTAGTAATTTCTCTTTCTAAGTGAGCTCATATTTTCAGGACTAGTCCAGTTAAATTTACTAATAAATGAATGAATCCCTCAACTTCTCTCTTGCTGTCACTGTCTATTCGAATAGAAGGGAAACACAAAGACCAGAACTGTTTTATTAATATTTAGTAAAAAAAAATATACAGTCAAAGCCAAAAGGATCTAGTTGTTTGTTTGGGTCAGGTTTTTCCTACATTGTGGGAACCAGCACACCACAGAATGGTTTCTGTGATCGTCCGGTTTATGCTTACGGGATAGAAAATATCATTAGCTCACTATCAAACAGTAGAAGTTGATGGAAATTTCCCGTCGTGATTGAAAACAAACCTGTGTGCATGTAAGAGAGAGATGAGATCAAAATGTAGGTGATTGTTTTATTAGGGCTTACTTGCTGAACTTAAGCCAGTATTGTTTCCACTGTATTACATTATGAAGGACTTAATGTGGATTTGGACATCTTAGATTAAATCTGCAAATCTCTCAACGGTGATACTCCATTACCTATCATTACTTCATTCTAAAATGTACTTGTATTAGTTGTTTTTCAACTTGTATTAGTTGTATTAGTTGTTCGTCACTGGTGCAGATAAACATAGCCTTTTAATTTCAGTGACAGAACATCTTTAGGCCGGTGT